ATGCTAATTAGTTTCTTTCTGATTCTTATTTATGTTTTTAAAAAAATGTATAAACAAGCAAAAAGGGAACGATCAAGCAAAGAGCCAGCAGCACCAGTGACTACTAAAGTTACAAGAGTTTGACCAAAAGTACCATGTAATTGCAAACAATGTAATGGTAAACTGGTTGAAACAAGAACAAGACAAAAATATGAAACAGAGGAAAATCGGCTTCAAACTTCGATTAACAAAATGAAGAAAAACAAAGAAAAAGAAGCTAACCATATTTCTGAGTTAAGAAATCGTCCAGATAAAATTCAATCGATTTTTGATGATTTTTTTCAAAATATCCATAATGTTATAATAGACGGTTTTTCTTGTGATGATGAAGTTCTAATGATCGATAACGATCATTACCAATCTGACAAAGTTACAAGACTAGCTGGTATTGAAAAAAAGAGAAGAAGATATGACCAATTTCGTAGAGTGAATAACGAAATAACGGTAATTTAGGATGAAGTACTTGAACAAGAATCCAGTTCATCTGGTAATGAAGAAAATTCTCATCAGCCGGTTGATGATAAAGACGATGAAATATTTTTTGATAATGATGATGATGATATTCTAGATGATTTATTTACAATGCCTGGTTTTAATAATATTAATCACGATTCAGATAATAAAAATCTTATCGCGAATATTGATATAGGTGATTTGTGGATTCTTCTTTGGATATTTAAATATCAGAAAAGGTTTAAACTTCCTGATGTTGTAATTAACTCATTAATTGGTTTCATTAGCCTTATTTTAAAAAATGTTAATTCACAACGATTTAAGGAATTTCCTTCAACTATCTATATGGCTAGAAAGTTATTGGAAGTTAGAAAGAAATCAAAATCATATGCAGTATGTAACAGTTGTAATAAATTATATGATGTTAAAGAAATTATACCAGTAAACTAATCAAATAGTGAGGATTTAGGATTCAAATGTAATTATGTTGAGTTTCTGAACTATCTAATGCAAAACCAATGTGAATTTTGTGGGTCAGAATTGCTGATAAAAGTCTCGGTGGTTAATGGATACATATGGAGACCAAAAATGTTATACCCGATACCATGTTTAAAGACCCAAATATTCACAATGTACAAAAGGCTGGGTTTTGAACAGCTTTTAAGAAAATGGGTCGATCGTGATGTTAGGCCCGAAATGTTGTCAGATATATATGATGGTGAAGTATAGAAAACTTTTCTATCATGTCTTGATATACCAAATACTTCTCGATTTTTCACACATGAAGCTGCAGATTCATATTTAGGGATAATAATAAATTTAGATTGGTTTCAACTATTTGAATCAGCAGCTTATAGTTGTGGTGTCATATATGGGGTAATTTGCAATCTTTCACGAAATGTCCGATTCAAAAAAGAGAATATGTTAACCTTCAGGCTTCTACCAGGACCTAAAGAGGTTAAATTACATAAAATAAATCACTATCTTGCTCTGATAGTAGATATATTGTTGGAATTTTAGAATGGTTTTGACTTACCAGTAACTCATGATCATTCCGTTGGTAGAAATATCAGAATGGCTGTAATATGTTGCAGTAATGACATTCCAGCCACAAGAAAATTGTGCGGTCATATATCGGCATTGGTAGGATATTATAGGTGTTACAAAAGAGCAAGCAGTAAAGATGGTCAAAAACCAAACTTTGGAGGGTTCGATGACATGTCTAATTAGTTTAAAGTAAAAGATCCAATAGAGCATCGTCGTAATGCTATCATTTGGAAGAAACAACAAATAAAAGATGATAGGAAGCAACATGTTAGTAAAACCCATGTAAGGTGATCCGAAATGCTTTGTTTGCCTTATCATAATCCAATTAGACATTTTGTCATAGATCCTATACATTGCCTATTCTTGGGAATTGCTCACTGGATTGTGAAGTGATTATGGATCAAAGTGGAAAAATTTCAAAATCTGATCTTGAGTTAATGGAGAAATGGGCAAAAAGTATTAAGGTACCTGCTGATCTTGAAAGAATTTCATTCAAAATAGCAACCGGTGAAGAATTTTCCAGTTTTACAGCCGATCAATGGAAATCTTTTATCATGATATATACGACTCTATTGATGTGGGACCTATTAAGTGAGAAAGATCAGAAAATTTTAGCTAACTTTGTAAAGGCTTGCTTCTTACTAATAACACGCATTATTGATGATAATGTCTTAAATGAAGCCATTCCCGATTACTAATAGTTACTCGTTTGGTCGAAGAAAATTATGGAAGGGAAATGATAACATCAAACATTTATCTATTACTTCATATCACTGAATGTTACAGAGATTATGGGCTGTTATATTCCTTCTGGTGTTACTCATTCGAAAGAATGAACGGCATTTTAGGTAAGTTATATGCTAATTATTGTAAAAAATAAATTAAAAAATTACAATTTTATTTAAAAATATTACCAATTACTCTCTTAGGTTCCTTTTCGAACAGTCATCGCCAAATTGAACCTGAATTATTACGGATAATTATGCAAAATTGGTGACTTGACGACCTTTTATCTATCCAATCAAATAATGTGAAACTCATTGAAGGTTTGAAGTTAATACAACTACAAGCAACTTTGGGAAGCTTAGCAGCTTATGATAATTTCGAGTTTGCTGAACTTCTTCGATTTAGGCAAATTTATTACCTAGAGACTGAAGATACAATTACCAGTACCGAACCTTTCCCCGGCGAGTTGTTGTATCCTAAAAAAACAATGTTAATTTACCGGACGATACATATAAAATTCTGATAGATTATTATAATACTGCATATGATCTCAAATTTTTATCGATTGCTGAATCAGTACAAAACTGAATAGGACGCTCCAAACATAGAATAGTTATCTGACTTCAAATAAATTAGTTTGAGCATATTCAAATTGGGGCCAAAATCTTTGGATTGGCAAATACGCCCTGATATTTAAAAAATTTATTCATTATTGCCAAATTCGTGCAAGATGATGGTTCAGTTGAAACATTTCCTGACCAGGTTCAATATTTCTTTAAACATGAGGTTAATCTACCAACAAGGAAGCAGACTCATCGATTGGCTTATGTAAGATGATTCCTACCGACTCCTGATCACTAGACAAGATTTCACTGCCAGATCAATGATGATATTAAAAGTTGTAATGTAGAAATTTAGAACAAAAACTTCTATGATATTGGCAGAGACTGTATCATCCTAATGCACAATATATTTAGCCAATTTATACCTAGCA